GAGTCTGTTTTGCCCGCGACGGTAAATGAAAGTGATCTCCCTGTCCTCTCGGACCTTGAGCCCTTTGAAATATTTTCTCCCCCTGTCTAGTGGAGAAGGGGGAGTGAGAGAGTGGCTGTGTGGGCACCTGGCTGCCGGCCATGGTCAAATCACGACAAAACCATTTTGGATAGTAATGAAGGTGTAGAAAATAAGGCCCATTTAAGTGGTCAGAAGAGCATGGAGACTTTAGACAGATAACTTTAACAGTGAAATCCAATATTAAAAGTTCTTTAACAGTGTCTTAAAAGCCACAAACAGTCTGAAAAGTCAGGTTGAAAAATATACTAAAATTATCTGCAATGACAGAAAATCAACAGACAAGATCTTAATAGCAAAATAAAGAAGGCAGCATATCGAGTTCTTACCAGGATTACTCCTATGCTGTTGAGCTCTATAAGTTCTTGATTCACGCTGCTTATATTGGTCTGTAAAAGGCTAGATATTAACCTAATCACATTTAAACGTGTGTTTCCCACAGGTGGATCTAATACACCCCAAGTCGTCTTCATGACACTCTTCTGAAAGAGATATGTGCATAAAACCCATTAAAATATCTTTTATTTTAAAAAAAAAGCTCATTGTTGCTATGCACAATGGAGCAATGCTTAAACTTCTAGACAATCAGCCCTTGAGCAAGTCTTACCTTCGCCCTGCGAAAAAGCCATTTTTAGTTCTGAACACTACAGCTCTACAGGCAGGAAGCACTAAAAAACAGCCAGAGGAAACCAATGGCATTGTAGGGATTGACGGTTAATTACATACAGGATCTCAGCATAGACACATTCTACCCACTCTTGAAAGGAATTAGGAGATACTTCCAAAAAATGCTTCTCACCACTTAGTTGATGTACAGCCATAGCCTACACTGCCACAGTACACACAAACCCGCTAGGTGGGCAGGCTCTAGATACGTCATAATGCTTCAACAACCCTAACTTCAGAGATTTGCTTCTCTGGGGTCTTTATTCTAATGTTATACATGAAACAAGCTCCATCTGTTGTCTGAGGAGGACTTCCTTCCAGCTAGAGTCTCTGTCCATGCACTAGTGGATCCCTGTATCACAATCATAAGCTTCTTGGTTTTTATGCTGAAAGTCCAGCTGCTTATCAAACCAGAAGTGTCTTCATGTAATTAAGTGTCAACAATAAGAAAAATCTGGTATCAGCTACCCTAAGAGCTAAAAATCCAGTAGCACATATGCAGTGAGCAAGGGAATTCAGAAGGAAAGTCTTTCCTTACCTTGAGGCACAAACACATTTTGACAAGATCACTACCGCCTTCTGTAACGCAGGGTGTTATTTTTGCCTGACCGGTGCCACCACCCTTGCATCTGAACAAAGATGACTGACAGCCTTCTAGTGACCATTGCTTACGTAAGGCCAAAAAACCCCAAAACTAAGGATGCACATTTAACTAGTGCTCAAAAGGAGCAACAGATTCAATAACTTCCTCAGAGGACTTATTCAAATACTAAGTACATGCAGCTCTCAGAAAATGCATGAGTATCTCTGCTTTTATCATAATGTACACCTGTACCTTGCCACGTTGTTGCAATAACGGTAAGACAGTTGATTTGAGTTTTATTGCCTCTTTTGCACTTGGAAATCTTGAGGTTTTCTGTTCTCGAAGTTAAAAATTTAACACTACCTTGACCTCCTGCCACACCTGGTACTTCATGCACATCTGGTCTTCACTTCTGCTTTGACCCACAGGTCAAGTCCCAAACAACGAGCATCCATAGTCTGTTGTGTTTCCCATCCAGCTACGATTTCTAAGCAAAACCAGGACCTACCTTGAGAATATATAGCAAATACCCACAGCAAATCTCTTTTCATTGCTTTCAGAAAGAAGTAATTGCATCAAGGCTATCCTGCCAATTAAACTCTAAGCTGGCAAAGCCTGAAGCCATTACACATAACACACTGGCTCAGGGACAGCAATAAGGAACAAGTAAAGCTCACGACAGGTTGGGATGGAGCCTGGGCATTTGCCTGAAAGTTATGATAACCCGCCTAAAACACAGCCACACAGTGAGAGTTCTGCTTCAATTAATTTGGTAAGGTTTCACTTACTTTTGGAGGCTCCAGTAGGAGCTCATGGAAGGATGAAAGTCGTGCTTTTATGGCTTCTAAAACACTTTTGCTGACTGAATATGTTGAATTGCTCATACCTGGAGGACAGACTTCTATATGGCCTTCAAATCTAAAACACACACAAGCAAAATCTGATAAATTAGTATCAAAACTAGTTGTAAAACATCTTACGGTTTTGTGAGGGTCATGATTCTGAAGGCACGTGAAAAGAATAAAGAGGCAAGTAAAAACATAAGACTACAAATATGGATTATGTATGAAGCAACGGTCGAACAAGATTTTTCCAAGTACTAGGCTCTAGTATTTTTAGGTTCACAGTGCTTGAAATCTCCTATACAGTTTTGAGGTTAAACATTATCTGCCTCAAGAGGAAATAGCACAGCTGTAAAGAGCTTTGCTCTTCTATCCTGAACAATGCAGATACGTTGAATTTATCACAGAAATCTGTTCGGCAGTTCTGCAAAGTGAAATTGTGAGAAAATTCCAAATAACTTTTTAAAAAGTCAACACCCACTCACTGCACTGCACATATTTACTATTCCTTGTATCCAAAACCAAACCGATGAAGTGTAATTAGTCTGATCTGTCAAGTGGCACTTAAACTAGCTTCTAGAAAAAAGTGCAGAAAGACGAGTCATTTGGTTTGTTCTTGAACTTCTTCAGCTACAATAGGCCACTGAAATGGTTCAGTAGTAAGTACACGGGAGACACTTTCTATTGCTCAACACAAGTTTAGTTAAAGCATGCAGGCAAATAAGAACACGTACGTCTGTCGTCTTGTCTCAAGTAGGGTCAACAGGATCTGGATTGCACTGACTATTGCAGATTCATTTTTTTCTTTATGAAAAATATTAGACAGCAGCTGCTCTATGATTTCTTGCCTGAAAAGAAAAGCACTGGTGTCAGACACAACACTACGTCAGGATACAATGTTAACAGAAGAAGCTACCACTTGCCCGCGTAAAATTAATATGGGGATAACACAAAGAAAACCAGTAGCTATTTCAAGCCAGCAGGTATCACTAGGACACAACCACTCCCACCCTCACTGCCCCAATCGTATTTTCCTATTCCACCCACTGATCCAGACTTCTGACCAAACAACCAACACTACAAAAGGGAGTTTCCAGTCAGATCAGAAACCTGAATCAGCTTGCCATAACAGCTACCCACACCTAAACACACAACTAGCAAAAGGAAGGAGGAAATACAGGAGAATCTTCTCCAGCAGAAACACACACTTAGATTAACTTAAAACAAATAACACATCAAAAAAGCCCAACGCTCCCCTGCATGGCACACACAGTACCAAGCTGACCTCCAGGTGTCTCATCCCACTAGCACGGGAAATGAGCCAACCTGCCCCCAAGGAATCCCTCCAGGTAGGCTCCTGCTTACTTCCAAGTTATTTTAAACGACCGGCACAGATCATAGTCAGTCAAGAAAATTCACTTGAAAAGCAGAGCTTGCCACTTCCAAAGGTCTTCCAGGCCAGAAGTTAAAAACTATGCTTTTTATTAATTGAAAATAAAAGCAGAAATTCAGCAAACCAACTTACTTCTCTAGACTTGCCAGCAGCGGATCTGGTTCTGAGCTGTTCTGTACTTGTAACATCTGGTCCCTGCTTAGGCGAATGATTTCGCAGAGCGACTGTGATGCATTTGAATGCCTCTGGAACAGAAAAACATAACTTTTCATTAAAAGTACTAACACTGTAATTGTAGGGGCAAGAAAGGGGGAGGCCAGAACCATTCACCCTCCCTCAGATGACCACACTTAAACATGGGAACCAGCTTACTGAAGAAAGCAAGCAGAAAACAGCAGAACTACAAGCTCTAATACTACGTTGTACAGCAAGTTGCTGAACAGAGAGAATCAGAAGAGTGTCAAACTAATACTTACATCTTCATCTTGAGACGGATGTACAATTTCCACAAGCCGCTGGATAATTCTCTCCTCATTTAACCACTGTAAAAGTGTTTGTGGGCATTAGTAAGAATGTTATCCATGTGAATGAATTAAAATTAATGACATTAAAAGCAGTCATTTGACAACTGCCACGAGCCCTAACTGTCAATATTTCTAAACAAGAAGTAACAATACTTCAGGAAAAAGAAAAAAAAAAATTAAAATTAGTTTCTGAGCAACTGTGAAAAAGGAAGCCTGATTTTTTATTTTTAAGTAAACTTTGTGATGCCAAAAAAAAGTGTTCAGTAAGGTCTAAAATATTTTTAAGACTGCATCTGGCAGTTGTAAGTCAGATACAAAAACCAGGGGAAGAGACCAGCCAGTCGGGTTCTAAGCTGTCCCCAACTAGTGCTGTGGTTCCACTGGAAAAAGTATTGGCAGGTCCAAGAAAAAAAGAAAACCCACACATCTAACTTCACTGCGTTTAGGAAATAATCTTAGCAAGACGAGCAGAAGACAAGTTACCCTACAGTTCCCACACACCAGATGAAAATCTTTTGAGACATCTTACTTACATTTAACACTTCTTGCCGGGGCTGTGGAGGTTCTATACAAGTCAGTAGCCTGAGCAACAAGTCCATGATAGCGGAGGTCCCTATGTGCTTAATAATGAGGTCTACAAAATCATGCTTCCTCTTTAAAAAGTCCACGATCTAGAATTTAAAAAGAAGCGAGCTTACATTTGCTTATCTGTAATTTACATGGTAAATCACACCAATCAGCTTCCCTCTCTCTCTCCTAAAAAACGGAGAAAATGAACGAGAACTTCTTGTACACTTTTTGCCACTTACAGCCTGCAGTACAAGGTAAAATAATATACACATACAGCAACAGTGACACTGCACATAGTATGGTCCGTCCTGTGTTTCTTGGGCCTCCTAAGTCCAACTTGCTGACCATAAACTACTTTTAATCCAGTGCCCACTGAGCTTTCCTTCTTGGTATGAACTACGCTGATCCCTGATTAACGATCAGAGGTCAGCACCGCAAAACCTTAACAGAATACAAACAAATACTGAGCTTGCTAAATTAAACATACAGAGCAGAGTCACAACCTTCATTTGCTTGGGCATGGCAGCCAGCAGCACAGCTGATTGCAGCGCTGGGCCACAGAGCACAGAGTACAACTCCGAGCAAGGACTCCAAACGTCTCTCGCCTCCCCATATAACAATCCTTCACACCAAATCACACCCACCCCCTCTCATTCGATTCGCTTACCTTCATCTCTAACCACAATTAATGCAAATATTACCACAATAAAATGCTGAGCTAAGCACTCATACACTGACTGCACAAATACCTTGGGGAAATCTGACTCAAACACACCTTACTCATCCAGATGTTTGCTAATCTGGCGCATACTACCAAATAGAGTCCTCAGCTAGCATGGAAGTTGAATGCTCTTGTTTGACTCCACTGCTATCCCTCCAGTGTGCAGTCTTAAAGCAGCATTGGAGGGTGTGTAAATATTTACCTGTTCTGGTTTTCTGCTTATAAGGATACTTAGCACCTTGCTGAAGAAACTGGCCAGTAAAGGGTTTAGAGGAGATTCATTTAAGAGAAAGCTGTACAGTTTCATAAGTAAGGACTCTTCCTCTCCCAGCCTATCATTGATCTGTGAGACATCCGATGTAAGCAGCTCACACGATATGTTTGGATATCTGGAAAAGGAGAAAAGAAAAAATTATCAATCACTTGTACTTCGGAGCTGTGGTACTGAATTCAGAACCTGCTACTAAGGCTTCTGACCAAGTCTGCAAGCAGGGCTGGTCTCCTCTAATCAAACTCCTGCAGGGTAACGTAACTGCACGTTCAGCCCACAGGTCCTGTTCTGCAGTAGCAACAGGGCAACACTAGGGAAGGGGGGAAAGAAAAGAGCAAGCTTTTACTTTAAGGTTTATTGTTAAATCCATCTGCTCAAGTGCTGAGCTTGTATTTCAGAAGTCACCTTTTATTTATTTTGAAGAGGAAAAAGGTAGTAACCCAAAAAGTTAGGCAGATTGATCGTACTGGACCGGGACTGGTGAGGGAGTAGCCAGTGTGTTTGCCCCTTTCTAATGTAACAGGGACTATATCAGAAAGGTCAAGAGGAATAGCTTCAGGATATATATGTCTATATATAGCAATTGTGTAGAAACTTAGCAAACTAGTCAGAGCCTGACAAAGCCTGCAAAACTAGCTAGTACTGCTTCATTACACAAAGTCAGAAGTACAGTTTGGAACATCGAGTAATTAAACAGGCCATCAAGACCAGTCATTTTCTGCATTTGACAGTACTATCACCTACTCACACTAAAGGCAATTTTGATAGCATCAGCAGCTTAAAGGTTTCTAAGAGAAACATGCTTCAATTTCAAACTCTTCTAAAAACACGGGAGGCTTGGTTTACGAGAAATGGTGAAATGTTGCAACTAAGTGTAGCTTATTTCACCTTTTTCTTTTACATGTACTGCTTTAAGAAAAAAGGCAACTTTCTGCATAGACAACTCTAAAATAGGTCAAAGAAACGGCAGAAGTGCTTTTATACTGTTAGGTTGACTTTTGAGTTTGAACCTTCTCAGCAAACTAGCTGAAGTCATGGCCGTGCCCAGTTCTTACAGTCCTAGCTCGGAACACCAGCAATCAGACGTTAAGCACATTCTTCCAAGGAGCCCTACAGACCTTCTAATAAGCATCTTCAAAACATTCTACCCATCATAAATAAAACAAAGCAAAGCACTTAACTATACCAAACAATATTCTACTATAGGGTTTTTCATTTCTTGATAACTACTACAAGATCCCTCATGCGAGCTCTGATTCTTTTTTTCAATTTTTTTTTTAAGCCTCCTTTGGGCAGCAATTGGGTTTGGAAGCATTTGTGGGTAAGAGGCTTCCATTTGAAAGTTCTCCGAAGCCCTTTCAAAACAAACTTGCTCCAAACATGCCAGTACTGTACAACACACCAAGAAGCAGGGACTGAAAACACAAATTAAGTGGGGTAAGCTACCCCTCTTTTCACTTTCCCAAGTGTCCCCCATCCCCAAAAGTCTTCCTACTTATATCGGATTTTTTCATCCATGTCTTGAGGTGGCTCTTCGATAATAAATGAAACTAAGTCTTCCAAACATTCTGACTTCAGCAGAAACTCTATAAGTTTGCGATTTTGAGCCTTGCACTCCTGTAGAACATCTTCTTCATCCATCAATTCCTTCAGCGTTACATCTTCTCTCTCTAGCAGTGTATCTATGTGGGATGACGAATGGAGATCAAATTTCCAAAACATGCTGGTCTGTATAGGAAGGATATAGACAAAGCATTAAGTTTACAAACACACTGAAGCACTATTTGCAGTAACGCACTTCACAGTAGCATCTCACAGCTTCTAAGCCCCAAGGTATGTGCATGCATAGAAACTCTGCAGAACTCAAAGGAGACAACAGTAGATGCTGATGATCAAACGCTACAGAATCAAGCTTGATTAAAGATACCGAATACTCCGCAGTATTTTTGCACCTTTAGCGACAGCCAATATTCTACCACCCAAAGATAAAGTTAGGCAGCTCTGGGATTTTACTTACGTGAGAGGAACATGTTAATGTGCATTAAAGAGCAAAGGATAGCTTCAGTTTCCAATTTGTTGAACTTGCTCTTCCCAACCTTTGCAATCTGTGCACCAGATTCAGAATAACTTGCCTGGCAACTAACAGAGCTGGGAGAAGATCAAGGGGGCACTGCATGAATGCCCTAGAGTACTGCCCCTACCTACCGTTGAAGAATTCACAACAAAGTTGGAAGAATTCTACTAACTGTAACTTGCAGGGAGTACACAAAGGGCTAGAGCTTTCAACGGAGGGCCTACTCTCCCTGTATCTCCCTCTGCAAACCTGACACAGGCGAAAGAACTAGAGAAATCTTACACAAACCCGTGAAAGGGCAGTAGCCCCAATCACTGAAACATCGTAAAAGGTCGTGACAGAACAGATTTCAGCTTTCCTTAAAAAAATGCTTTAGCATCTCCATGTTAACTCTGTTGCTTGCGAGCGGTTGCTACTGAGACAACTGTGCTGTCAGAAAAGATTATTTCAGTCGATGACGAATCCAATAAACTCCTGCGTTCACCTCTCACTAAGATAAATACAAGCATTTGCTTCACTCCCCCCTCTTCGAAGCAGCACATTTAGGTGGAATTTAATCAGTACCAGCTGGGCTTACGTGAATGTAGAATTTCAGTGGGTTGAAAGAGACACTACACATAGTAGAGAACAGCAAGAGAAACTTTCCTTACAACTGGAAGGAGCATGATTTTCAGCAGTACTCATTTAAATAAGGAAAGAACCACTCCTTTTGCTCCTTTATAACTACCAAGCGTAAAGGACTAACTCGGTACGTTAATTAGTGCTGCCTATTAGCAACATCAGCTGTAACATCCTGTAGTTACCACAGAGCATGTAGGTGAACAGGACTATTTTGTATTTTATCACTGCTAGTGAATAGTAATTACAGTTCTGTAAGCTGCAGGCTGAACGCTGAAACAAGCTTCAAGACAACAATCCAAGTACGCTGTTGTCACACGCTTTTATAAAGGCCTACAAAAACTAAACCAGAAACATCCAACCCTTACGCAAACTAAGACGTAGACAGCTTTAAGCATTTATTTCCAAGTTACAGCGGGTTCAGCACGCACACTACAGCTACCTACAACAGCGGGCTGTCCCCTCTAGCACTTGGACTTCTACCTGTTCTCTGAAGTGCTCAAGGATCCGGCAAAACCCTTGGGACTCTCTTCAGCAGCAAGACTTCTAGTATCTGCCCTACACTGTGAAGGGGCTGGGACACGGAGAGCTCTGAATTGCCTTCAGGGTTCTCACTGTTGCTTGAACCACCACACACTGATCACTTAAGAGCACCTTACTTGGCCGAGCCTTTGGCCAGAAGTTGTAAGCACACACGTAACTGCCCCGAGATGACCCAGCTTTCTGTTTCAAGATACAGGAGTCAAAATCAATCAGAAAAGGCACAGACAATTGCAATTGCAGTATCAGTACTTACAATCAACTGAGATCCCATGCACGATTAAGTGGTTAAGCAACAGAAAACAATTTTTTTTTTTCTACTAAGAGTATTAGTAAACTTACAAGCTAGGTTCAAAACACCTGATCTCACAAATTAGCTTAAATCAAATTATACAAAGTTGTTACTAAAAACATGGGCTTGGGAGTATTCAGGCTACACACATACTTACTGTGAGCCACTGAAACTAGTGCATTATTAAAGTCACGCGGTATTTATTTTTAAGCCTCTAGAAAGTAGATCAACTCCCTCCCCTTGCCCCAATTAGTGAAAGTGGCATCTTTGCAAACAACCACTATCAGTGCGAAACCCAGACAGAAATTTCTCTGCAGCGATTAAAGTTAATTTCAGTACCTCCCATATATTTCTTGGTTACTTATTTCAAGAGAAATTCAACAATGGAAAGCAACAACAACCGAAAAAAAAAAAAAAGAGCATACTACTGCAAACATGTCACTGCGTTATTTCACAAAGTGTCTCGCAGGCAAGCTCTTTTAGGGGGTGCTCCCTCAACATGTCAGGTGCCGGCCAGAGATTATTCCGTCACTTTTCAACAGGAGCCCAGGTCCTTTGAAATAAGGAAAAATAAACAACATAAAATGTGCCAAAGAGGAAATCCAGGAACCCTGAAGAGAAGAGCATTTTCTCAGGCATTATCACTGGTGATAATCTAGAATCAGCCTACCACAGTTGTGAAAGGAAGTTTTAAAAACAAGAAGTTACTGTTACTCTTCCACTGTGGTCTGCCCTCCCTCCCAAAACCTACCAATTTTGAAATTCTGAATTATCTCCATGCTTTTTCAGATTTCAGTCCCACTAACAGTCAGAACTGGGCTTTATGTCCACAAATTAGGAATGCTCCTCCCAAAATTTCACTATCTGCAAATTTATGATAAACTCCGCAGGCCAACTGGGTTGCATTCCTCCCGATGTTCAGCTCCACTGCTAACACAAGCAGAAAACTCACATCATCTGGACTCACTGCAAGATCGAAGAGACTGCCAGATACAAGACCTGCTTAAGATTTGATACTACAAGCAGCAAAATAATCCAGGATAATTATAAAAACTCTCAGATGTGGAAAGAGGAGTTGCAAAGACAATAAAGCTGCTGCAGGTATCACTGTTTTTTGTAACTTAGGTTAGATTTCCATACTCTCTGAAAGTCCCCAGCAAGCAAAACTAACAGATCTCCAATTCAAGTAAGCAGTACTTCTGAAAATTTACATCAAATTACTGACATGCAAGTTAAAACAATTCAAGATCCTAAGGAACACCTCGCACTCAGAAAAACACTGAAGCATTGCTTTGTTTTTTCAGTTAACATTGTTAACAGGCTTTTCTCTGAATGAATGCTGAAATAACACTCTATGCAGCAAACACCTAACTGAAATCCAAAAGGAAAGAAAGCATTTAACCCAGATGAAGAAACTGCTCTGAGATTCGAGCAACTGAAATTCCCACTTGAATTGTTTGCTAAAAGGAATAAAGCTTAGAAGCAATCCTTTCAGACCAGAAAAAGAAATGGGAAGTCTTCTGCCTACTACAGCTGAAGAAAACTAAGCTGTGTGTATTTAGTTTAACAGTAACAAGTTCTTTTCAGAGGCCAAAAGCTTAATTGGCATCACCATCAAAAAATCCGGTGTATCAGCAGGTTTGCCTGTAGCTTGGCAGTGACTCAGCTGTCCCACACCTGCCCTGAGCACAGGCAGCCCTGTCTGCAGCCTGCAGGATGGAGACGTTACGTTCCAGTCAGACAACCACATCAGTTCATTTTGGACAACATCTCTCACATCGAACCTTTCACAAGACAGACCTGCTACTTGCTGAAGGGACTTCTGAATGCTGTACAAGTAAGGAAGCTATTAAAGCAACCTGCTTCTGTAACACAAACACGAGAAGCATACTTGGCAAGGAGGTGCTCCCAACTTGGTAACGAGCTCCTGTGTCTACCTAGCAGCTGAGTTTCGGTACCTACAAGCAGACGTGGGCTCAAGACCAGTGCAGAAAGAAAATTCAAAGGACCTCAGCGAGCCAGCTGCAGGCTGGTTTACGTGACAGCTGGATGTCCACAGAGCTGCCAGCAGGAACTCTGCAGATTTTACAGCAATAGCAAAAGAATTTTAAAAAAAATAAATAAAACACCAAAACCACTAGTGCCTTGGTGTCAAGCTGAAAATTCTGCAATATATTAACATCTGAAAAATTCTACATAAGGTTATCACAAGGATAAAAGGTAAAAGCTAAGGTAACTATCTTTTTTTTTCAGTGTATCATCATGTTTTCTTATTATCAGGTTTCAAGTGCACAGGTTAAAAAAAAATAAAATAAAATCAGGTACAATTGCACCAACAAACTTGGCATGACTGACACGCATCCAAAGTTAGGTAGCCTGCTTCAGCAAAACAGCTTTTTACAACTCCTGTGTACCACTGGCAAAAGACAACTTCGTTGCGAGATGCAAGGCGAGCAGCCAGGAAAGGAATCCTTGGGGCTGCCACGGGCTCCCAAGGTCTTACATTTCTTAACGATAAAAGCATTTTGAAAGCAAACAATCCATTGCCTTCTGAAAATGAAACAGGTTGGTAGGTTAGCGAAGGATAAAGTAATCAAAGTTAAATTCTTATGCTTTTATCATTAATTTACTGATACTCTTAAGACCTTTAAATGTGTTAAGTGATTGCTTTAAAATGCTAAGCATGCCCTTCCGCCAGCTTCACATCACCTCAATCAGTTAGTCCCTAGGTAATTTGATTAGTTTGGGGTTTGGTTTTTTCCTTTCTCCAAACAGACACTAATGAGACACCACACCAGCATTTACGAAGTGCTTATTTTGATACTGGAAATGGACCATCTGTTCAAAACAAAGTGCGTGTCTGAAAAAATTTTAGAGCTAAACAGAATTACCAGGCACCTAAACTGACAAAGACACTCTCGTGGTTATTTTTTAAAGTGCCCATTTCATTCAGCCAGAAGATCACCCACTGCAAACCTGCTGTCCACAGCTGCTTTCCTTTGCAGGCTGGGGCACAATTCCCAAAGCACTAAATATCTTAAGATCTATTAAATAGGAAAATCAAGCACACACGTATTTAGTTTGGAATCGAGGGCAATTTTAACAAAATAATATATTAAAAAAAAAAAAATAAAGACAGACACCCGCATTCTAGCTTGAAGATCTGGACCTGAACAGTCTTTTCTGTAAAGTAACGGTCAATTAGAGCAGTCACTCAGTTATGCCATAGCTGAATTCCCCTCTTTTACCACTTAAAAAGTGCAAAGAAGCATCTCTCATACAGCAACACTCTTAGAATGTTGCTTCTGCACTGAGAGTTCAGGGGGAAAAGTAAGGAAATCTTTTTCTATTTCATTAAAACAGTATGATTTAAGTAGTGCAAAGCTCTGCTCTTAACTACTCCTTAGTTTTATTTCTAAATACTTCACACAATACCATAAAACCCATACTTATCCAACAACCTATTTTCATCTGAAGCAGTGAGGTTCCCTGTATTATTAGACTCAAAGATCTTAAAGGTCTTTTCCAATCTAAACAATTCTATGATCTCTAGGTTGAAAGATATGTTACTTTCAAAATGACAAGATCTAACTCTATTGCTTTACATCCAGCAATTAGAAATGAAGAAAAAAAAAAAAGGAGTAATACAGGAGAGTTTTCACGGTACAGTTTCTACATTTCTTAAAAAAAATGTAAGATCAATTTGCCATAGAATAAAAATCTCCTGAGAACACAAAGTAAGATGTAGCAGTCTCTTCGTCGTCAGAACAGCCTGTTCAGGCCACGAACGCATGCCCTAGTGGAAATTCGGTTTTGATAAACACTCCATTACTTCCACTAGCAATCATGCTTCTGTTATTATAAGCTAGTGAAGTTCCAAAGAAACTTTGGGGAGGAGACAGTTTGACATTAAAAGGATGAAAGAGAACACAAACACCTTTACCTCAACAGCTCAATACATATTGCATCTGTATTTCAAACACCGTGCATGGTCCGAGTCCTCCCATTTCCAAAAGGACACAGCAAGCCAGAAAAGATACTGAAAGGGAAACAAAACACTCCTCTCCCAACCCTCCTCCTCCTCCCACATGAGGTCATCTTTCAGGCCACAGCCCCCACAACTCCAGACCTGCCATACGTGGCCACGTGCACAGCCATCGCAGTGGCCTCCTGATGTCACAAGCCACCTCACCGAGCCCTATAAATAGAGGGGCCCTGGCAGCTGGCCCACAACGTGCTGAGCTTCAAAGCCCTCAGGTTCCAAGGATGATTAGAACAAAGCGCCAGAGCAGCAAGGTGAGCGGCTGCCCCTGGTTAGATGGGAAGGTAGATGGGTGGTTGCAGGAGCTGGCGTCAGAGCTGGGGCACCACCAGCCCCATGGTAGCAATGGCCATCGCTCGTGGGTGATGGCGTGGAGCCCTTTGAGGTGGATCCACCCAAAGATCAAGAAGAACCAAAGAAGTGGATCCACCTTCAGCACAGCTCCCAGGCAGCTCTACAGCGTGCCAGGGTCCCCTCCATGACACCATTACCACAGCACTGCACCCTACCACCAGCCCAGCCTCCATGCCAGGCTGCCCTGCAGGCTCACCCAGCCCATCTCCCAGCATTAACAACTACCTTGCGGACTGCCGGGCTGGTGTTAGCCCTTCTCTTTCCCATCCCTCACCCCTCCTGAAGGAGGGCCATCTCCTCTGCCCGTAGCCCCAAGCAAAGGAGATGAGACAACCCAGCTTCCACTGGGCTGCTGCAGTGGGGCAACAGGAGGAGTTCCTCTAAGGGCCACCGAGGTCCCTCAGGCCTGGAGACTGGGTTTCCTCAGTCTGATGACAAGAAAGCTGCCTGACGGGTGGGTTAAAGACGAAGCCAGACCTTCCACGGCAGTGCACAAAGAGGAGCAACAGACCAAATGAAGAAGTTCGAGAGACAGTTGTTCCTTTAGAGAAGCAGAGGATGGCAGTCCTGCCAGGAAGAAGGGCTGGCCTGCGGCACTGAGGCCCCTTCTTAGGACTTCACAGAATCACAGAATGGCTTGAGTTGGAAAGGACCTTGAAGATCATCTAGTTCCAACCCTCCCACTGTGAGCAGGGACACCTCCCACTAGACCAGGTTGCTCGAATCTCAGCCAGCCTGGCCCGGAACACCTCCAGGGATGGGGCCTCCGCCCCCTCTGCGGGCAGTCCGTTCCAGTGTCTCACCAGCCTCACAGTAAAGAGCTTATTTCTACAGCCTAATCTAAATCTACTCTGCTCTTCTTTACAAGGTTGGGCAATAAACAATTTTAAAAAAACCAAAACTTACAGTAAAAATGTTTTCCTCCTCTGCTATTTGGTACTTTGGTGACTACATTTGGTCTCCCTAGTCCGGAAAGACACTGGGTATGTGTCCAGGGCATGCAGCACACAAGGGCAGGCTGAGGGAGCTGCCTCTGGCCAG